CAAAAAGGGATCTGAATGACATAAATGCAGACAAATTCTGTCTGTATATCAGATGTTCCTTATTAGGTTGTTTCTGATCCACCATAGGCTTATACCTTGCAAGCAGAAAAAGCCATTTTTTTTTTTGCTATTGCTCAAGGACACTTGTGTTTTAGGATCATTATTGAGTATTTTGATTTTCACTGTATAGTGGCAGAGTTGTTCCCTGAAATCTCTCCCCTGTCTAGTATGGTTTATATCACTAGAGACCACTCACCAAAAATGAGGAGTTTAGGACTTATCAGTAAGTTCGTATTCACTTCCTAGGCACTGCAGTATGAAAATGAAAAAGATGAAACTAATTACTACCTTCAGATTCCCCAACTGTATTAGAACTGAAAAGCAAATTCATACTGCTGTTCTACTGATTCCATAGTCACCCTGTGACTCTCTGCAAATTATCAAAAAAATAACAAGAACCATTCAGATATCATCCTTGATACACTTGTGTAGAAAAGCTAAAATAGTGTGTTTATTGGCAAGAGCATTGAGCTGAGTGACAAAAAGCATACTCCATTCTTGTTTGTCCTGCTATCGGTATTGATCTGAAAGGCTGGGCTGAGACACTGGTCCTTGTTTCCCACTTTCTTTCCATTATTCCCACTGAGAAAAATTGCTTATTTCTCCATTGAGCTTGGAAGCACTGAGAGTGTTGTTAAAACAGGTTCACACATTTCTTGTAAGCTAACTGGCTTGCTTGTGTGCAATTCTGATCTTTGCTGACATTCTCTGATTTATAGGATTACTAAATTTGTCAAGAGATTCTGCAAAGATAGAATTTGGAACATTTTTTAGTCTCTTTTCCCTTTATGACTTTTCTACGTATTAACCCATTCTTTGTGCTGAGTCAGAAACCTTACCAACAGTACTGCATTTTGCACAGACATGCTGAAAACATTTTAGCCCAAACTATGTTACCACTTACACTGCTGTGATCGGTACTACACTCACATCTATTACCAACTACAGATACAAAATGCGCTACGGTAAGAGTCAGACCTTCCATTTTTTTCCGCCAAAATTATGAAATATTTTTAGAGATTATATCTTGATAGAGCAAATAACTTATTATTTAGAAATCTAAGCCTCACTGAACATCATTTTTACTACTGATGCAAAAGTAAAGCATGATTTAGTTTACCTCCAATACTTCATCTGGTTGTGGAAAGGTTACAGTAAAGGAGCTGAAAAAAATTATTTTCACTGACATTATTATTAAAAAAGAAACATATAATTCCAAATGCATAATGATTTGCTGAATAAGATGCAATTTTTCTGATCGGTGTTATCTCCTTAGGTGGGTGGTCAAGAGCAAAATTAATAATATTTAAGCCCAAAATAATTGTTAGTATACTGGGAGCTGTCTGTTGCAAAGGCCAAAATGACAAACGCACAGTGTTTTTGCAAATTGATTCTAGACACACATACTCCCTGCACTGATGGGAAGCCATTTTGGCATAGCCTCCATGTTGCATTTCCTTAGCTATTCAGAAAGTACCCTAATGTTTTCATACCACTGAGAACTCAGTTTGGACTAACTCAGTCACACCTTCTGGTATGTACTCTCAGCGGCATGTAAATTGCCTGAGAAAATATAAAGGGAAATAATAATTACAACAATCAATAACAACTTCCAAAGCACCACTCTCCCAGCATACCAAGGGTGCTTGGGAAGCCAGGTGAGACGCAGGGCCGAGGAGCAAGTGCTGCTACAGCTCGACCCATGAACTCCTGTCTGCAAACCCCTGGTTTGGGGAGCAGCCTCTGGTCGCTGCTGGTCCACCCCCGCAGAGCCTGAGGTTAAAGCCTAACTTCATAGGTACCTGTGGGCATTTTTCACTCACTGTCTGGGAAACGACTGTGCAAAGCCAAGTGAAAGCCAACTCTCTTCCCGGTTTTAACGCTGCAGACCTATTCCCCACATTGTCCAAATGGCCAAAGCACTCTGCACACACCAAACGTGAGGATGCTGAGGCCTCCAGACCCCTGTACATATTTCTTTTGCACCCTGCTGATTACACTAACTCTACCCTGCCACAGGGCACTCCTCCCCACTGTACGGGCAGCGTGAGGTGTTCCAGGGACAACTTTGGCTCAAGGGTAGGGTGGCCTGGGCTCCCCCACAGCCATCGCCCATCCAGCACGGGGTGCTGCAAGCTCACCGTGGTCAGTGGGATCGAAAGAGGGGAAAAATATTCCAGTTTAAGCTCTCTGGGACAGAACTGGGAATAGCACCTCATTCTAACAGTGATGAGCCCCGTTCTGCTCATCAGATTTCACAGCCTCGTGCAGAAAACAAAGTGTATCTGGTTGCTTGTCGTCCATGGTAGGATCAAGTCCTGAGCTTCCTTAATAAAACAGTAAGCTCTTGCATGAATATTGTGCTGCTGCCTTTTAACAGCATACACCAGAGCACAAAAGGTAAGGGAACAAGAAGCAGATGCAAAGCTAAAACCACACCTCCACCTTGTGCTCTTGATTTTCTTGAGCACAGGTTTTTCCTTTAGAATTTGTCTTTCATTAGAATTTGTGATGGATAATCAAGAAATGTACTGTAATAACTGGAGCAGCTTAAGTGCTTTCTTATATCTTAGAATAACTGACTAATAACTTTCTAAATACATTTTTTTAGTAACACATTGCAGGTCTTTGTTTCTTGTTTTTTGGTTATCTCCTGAATTCTTTTAAAGTGGCATAAAGATAGAGAATTAATTAAAACTCCCCTTCATAAATGATGATTTTCTCAGCATATGAAATGTTGGTATTTTTTTTCTTCCTAGAGGGAAAAAGCAACTTTAACCATTTCATAACTAGGAAAAGTTTTGTTTGGAAAAGACTCCATGTGCTACCATAAAGTACAGTCTGATTTGAACAGCGTATTATTGAGATTATTAACAGAAATACCGACTGCAACAATGAAGACTCCTCATGAACACCTGCTTAGGGACTTAATTTTCCTTTAATGGGCTATTACTAAGGCTTCTCTAACAAACTCCCTTGTGCCCCCCAAATCAATTCTGGATCAATACGGACACAAATGCCCTGTGTAGAGCCTTCTGTTCTCAGGACAGGATTAAAAGATTCGTTAGTTTTACGATAGCTTGGTTAAATGATGGAAATTAAAAAAAAAAATGAAGAAGAGAAGATGCACATGTTCCACACAGTTTAGATTTCTTCTGCTTAACAAACTCAGCATTTGCAAAGGTTTGACAGAAGGAAGGCAACTTTTTATTTATTATCGCAGTAATAAGGGTCTAAAGAACCCCAAAGCATGTTACTCAGTTTCTATGAATGATCAATTAAAAGCCTGCTTGAGAACTGGCTTCCATCAAAATTCACTGTCATTTCTTAGTGTTATTGAGGTGGTAGAAAACAGGGCAAAGAAGCAGTTTTTAAAAGCATCCCTGTGTTTTTTCAACCAAACAAGTATAGCAACTTTAATCAGAGCAGCTGTCAGGTGGCTGAATACTGAGGTAACTTACTTAAAACTTGGATCTAGGTGTATCAATTATTATCGACAGATTTTAACATTATGAAAAATGTATTTCTTCGCTGACTTTGCAATACTAAGTCTTTGTTTTCTCTGAGTTAATCCCGAGTACTATTTTTGTTTAACCAAAAATAAGACATGGGAAAAGTCTAGTAAGAGTTATGAATCCATCAGTTAAAAAAGCAATAGCAAATAAATAGCCTTAAAAAGTATTTAAAATGTTGCACAACACAGAAACGTGCACTATCCACAACTACCTTTAGTTTAGCATTTGATCATGTTCTTACAGCTTCCTAGAACAGCATTTAAAAAAATATATCCTTTGTTATGAAATGCAATGCTGCTCAAAGTATACAATTAAAACATCTGTCTACCAAACATAGAGATTTATTGCATCAAGTGCTAATGAATATTGTCTGCACATAGGAAAATGTTTCACATTTCCACACAGTTAATAACATCAACCACGCTACTTTTCACTACAAAGCCACTTTAAAAGTAGTAAACAGTGTTTTCTCTACCTACCTAGTTACATCAGATTCATCTGGGTTTTGGATAACTGCATACAGAAAATTTGGTCTTAACAGAAAAAGGACATTATGTTGGTAAAACAGACTGTGTATTTTTATGCTTTAATAATGGATTTTAAAGAAACACAGATAATGTATACTCTGTATGCATCAGTTTGCCTGTCTGAGTTCAGAACAGATAACACTGAAAACATTTCAAAGTGTTCGTTGGTATTTTGGGCTCTTTTTTGAATCTGCTTTGCTTTCTTGAAAGCAAAAGAATAAACTCCAAAACCAAGAAATGATTTAACCCTGAGGGAGAAGATACTGGATTCTGATTATCTTTCACAAACATATTGATTAGGTCAACTTTTTGGATGCAGAATAATCTTTCCTGCACAGATATACTATTGAATTTTACATCTTTTTTGCTTTGAATAATAAGAAACTACACGGTTTTCACTTAACAGACAGTAACTCTGTTAAATGTAATCATTTTCCCCTGCATATTTACAGTTCTGTTTTCGAAGTATTTTCCCCGAGTTGCTGAGTAAACAGAGTTCACATTTACTGATAACAAGGACTCACATGAATTGTTCGTAAATAACCAGAAACACGGCTTTAAGATATAGAATATATAATGATGACATTTCAGAAGAGAAACTTTCTTATCTGGTGAATAGCAAACGAACTTAACAGCCCCAGAAAGCAGAAAACAAGCAATATATTTACAAATGTCTTTCACAGATTAAGAAAAAGTGCTTGGAAATCCTCACGGCTCACAAAAAACCCTTACAATCACCTAGCAACCTATGTTACTGCTGCTTTCAATTTTGAACAGGCAGCCTTCACATTCAAAGATGTATCTGAGCCAACTGATGCAACTGTAAGTTTAAAGCAAAACAAAAACAAAAACAGAGATTGTTGTTGTTGTTGTTGTTATTTAAATAAATTGCCCCTACCTTTCTTCTGAGAGTACGATGGCGACTGCACTTGAGAAAAAGTAGGTTTTTCTTCGGTGAAATATTCAGGTTGGTTGTACTGATTCAGGGCCATGTCCATGTCAGAGTACTCGCTTTTAAACACGTTTCCAGGGTAACTACAGGTATAAGGCTGATTCACCGCCCAGGCCTGTTCCATATATATGTTGTTACTGTGCAGGACCTGAGCATCACAACTGCTGTAACCCTGATTATCTTCGATATATGTGCAATAATCAGTGGATTGCATGTAGCAGTTGCTACCAGCAGCTGGGTGCACTTCATATATTTCTTGCATACAGTAGTTCATTTTGTTACCCTATCTCAGCTTCTACTTTACGTACACACACACATGCATACACAGGCAGGCATGCATACACATGGAACGGGAGAGGAGCAATGAATATACACCAACAAAGTCGACCGCAAAACAGCCCGTTTTACTTTGGAGCAGCACCTGATGTGCTAAAATCCTATTTATATTGGGACAGCTTGTGAACTCCCCTGCCAGTCAAACATATTGGGAAGCAGATTTATGACAGTCAAAGGTCTTAATCTGTGACTGTAAGTTAATTCCAAGGGAAGATGGCAGGCAGGTAGCAATGACCACCAGACAAAGAAGTGACATCCCGACAACCCTCCTGTTCCCCTGTTTGTCTGGAATAATCATTTTATAAACCATTTCCAGCCCTTTCCAATATGATTAGAAAATGATTACTAAGGCGAGGACACAGTTATGTCACTGTAGTTGTCAACTTAAGTGTGAAGCATTATAAAGACTGCTTAAGAACTCCCAGAGGGGATACGCTGAAAATCCTAAAATCAATAATCCTGTTTTTCAGCATTAAACCATAGAAAATCCAATAGTGCTGTGCTGATGACCCAAGCAGTAGTCTAGTTTTACAAAATTTAGCAACTTAATCTGTCATCAGCTTTATTGATTTTGTTTTACAGAATTACATGCATGAATCTCCCCAGCCTTCCACACATAGGCAATCCTCCCCACTGCCTGGTAATGCATTTACGGGAAAGCAGCTTTTCTAAACTTCAGTCATTTGGGGAGGTAATTTCTATTGAGTTCAACAGGTGGGAAACTTCGAAATAATATAATCAGCAAACAGAACACCGCTTAAATATTATCAGTAAGCTAATTGCTTTGCTATTCTGCTTTGTTATCCTTTATGTTTCAGTAATGGAGTACTTTCAGAAGCTTGGCTGTTTTGACAACAGACTGAGTAGAGCAAGGAGAGGTTTTTGCTCTTTTTGCCTCACCTACGAGCTATGAGCATGTCACTATCACTACAACAAAAAATGTATGATCTTATAATTATTTATTGCACCCTAAACCGCAATACGGTTAATATATGCCTTGTTTAATCAGCCATTCTTTTTGATAAAAAAAAAAAAAACAAAAACTTTTATTAGCTATTTGTTTTTTACTAGGTAAAGTATGTTTTTCCTTCACAGCACAGTTAAAACACAGTAAAACTCTCGAAGCCAGTAACAAGATGGTATCCCTCTTTAATGTCTGTTTTTACTATTAGGAAGCAGAATTATTACTGATTTGATAATGACGTTTTAGTTTTCTTATTTCACTCATTTTAAACAACTCACAGGATTGCCGAAATTACTATTTAGGTTAGCCCTTTTTCACCTAGTATCTTAAGTTTACAGCTACTAACCCTGATGAACACACACCTAAATGGTCCTAGAAGTTCAGTGAAAGAGGTAAGAACTGGGGATGACATGTACATATTTCTCCCCATCCGATACCGTTTAAGGTTTCAGTGTAATCCAGAGTGGATGGAGAAATGTTCTCCCTTCCAACATACAATCATAACAAACCTGTTTAAATAAGAAGCATTTCCAGTTAGCAGCTAATATGCACGATAACGGAGTAAGTGCAGAATAAGGATAAGCATAATAAGGATCTGAGGCTCAGAAAAGTGAAAACTCATGCTTGGATTTTAAAGTTTTTTTTTCCCTTGAACTATAGAAGAAGCATCTTTAATACACATTTCTTACTAACTTGCTCAGAAAATGATAATACATTTGGTAAGTCAAAATGAACTCTGTCAAATCAATTCTACTGAAATCAGCGAAGCTGCTTCTGAAATGAACTTACTCTTCTAAAACTCTGATAATTTAAACTAACATCTCAGTTCATAAGAGCACTAAGTTACTGAAATGTCAGAAGTAAACCACAAAGGAACCCTCATTCTCCATGCAGTTTTTACTGAAGATCTAAGCCAGCAAATAGCACTGCGACATACAATATGAAGAAAGCACACAAGAAAAGTCAATTTTCATTTTAGCTCAGGCCCACAATCTAGATTTTACAGTGATTTTGTGAGAAAAAGCAAGACTTACGCAAGATTTGATTTTTCAAGAACGGACGTTCAGCACTTCATAAAAACATGCCCGTGGTTACTAAGAAACTCCGCAATCGTCATTCACACAGGAACCCCCAAACCATACCCATTTATGTGACCTGTTGGCAATACTGTGGCACATACAAATGTCACACACACAACCACAGCCTGCTGAGCTTACTTCTCCACGCTCGTTGTGGAAAGGAGACATTCCACAAGTGCAGTGTACGCGGGTTGTTCATTTACCACGTAACAAAGGGTACCGCTCGCAGGCATTTCTGTGGGAGCCTGCAGAGAGGTAAGGCTGTATTTTACAGGTTGCCAGAGCAGAACACCTAGATACTTTTATGCCACCCATAAAAGCTTTGGAGAACCAGGTTTGGAATTCTTAGATGGAATTTTTCGCCATAGGGATTTGCTTTGCCAGACAAGTCAGAATTTTTGTGAATTATCTCTTCTCTTGTTCTTTTCCCCTCTATTTGGTTTAGGTTTGTTACTGAAAAATTAAGCAGATCTGAGGCTGTGTGTAGACAAAGCCATCCCAGCCAGGGTAGCACATGAGGATATGGTATCTCAATGTAACACAGCCTGTGACTTGCTTTCTGTTCCAAAATAAATCCCTCAAATATTTCTTACTTCTTATTGCTATGTCAATAGTGCTTAGAAGTGTGTCATATGTACTGCTTTTGTCAGAATTACTGTAATATTGCAAGGAAATTACATTAGATGAAACTGTGAAAAATGAGGAGAAAAAGAAAAGTGGATAAGAGCCTTTTCTGACAGAAAAAAAATTATAAACACGGCCAGGGAATGGGAGTTCCTTGCCTGTGATGTGCTAACATTAAAGAGGTTTATAGCACTGCAGATTGTTGTTCCCTTGGAAACAAATCAGTTCAAAAAACACTGCAAAGATTTAACATCCCTATTAAACCGGGAATATTCCTAAAATATTTTCATTTTAAACTCTTAGGGTCACATCCTGCAGGTCCCTTTGATTTATCACTTTGAATTAAACGATTGGATGAAAGACAGTCAGACAAGGTCTTTATCAAAAGTCTGAAAGTGGAGTAGAAATTAATATTAACAGCCTTATTTTTGTCTTGTATTCTGATTTGAATATCAGTCTTTAAATCATGTCATGTTGAGCTTCCATTGCCTTTGGCAATGTAGTATTGCACTTGGAATTTTATTAGTTCACAAGTGTTTGATTATGAAAACACATGGAAATTAATCACTAGCAGAATAAAACCTCTGGTGCAAGCAAATAAGCCAGTGAAAAAGCAGAGACTTCCACACTGCGGCAGAAGAGGATATCAAGTTTGAACCCTTCACTGTCTGAAGTATTAATTCATTGTATTAAAAAAAAGGCAGAAATCACTTGCTGAACATGAGTCTTGAATGCCCCAAAGGTTTTGAAATACTCACCCTGGTGTAAATCAGAAGTGTAGTGCAGGCAGTGATGTTACACTGGGTGGGCAGAAGTCAGGCTGAGAAAGCCTGAAAAAAGCTACCTGCAGGAGACTGCCTTACACTACATTATGCAGCTCTTCTTTGACTCCTGTTTTAAAAATTCAGACTAAAACTTTCAGTTATGAACAATTAAACACCCTACCAAGCTGCACTTCTCTTATGACTTAACCTGGTTACAAAACACACCAAAACGAGCCCGCAGAAATGCTAAGGCAAGAGTGTATTGCTGTGGATGGTCCTCCTGGTGACACATCCCAAGCAGCCGAGGTCCCGGTGCAGCAAAAGCAGCGTGGTGCCACGCAACCCCCCCCTCCTGTGCCACTGCTGCCTACGAGAGCACGCCCGCGGCACAACACCCGCTAGAGCCGCCTTCTCCTGACCGTTCCCAAACTGCACCCCTGGTCTAGAGCCCTGGCTACCCCACAGAGCTGCAGGTAGGGCCCCTGTGCTCCACTTCCAAAAGGCTGGTCAGTGTCAATACGTGGGAGGTACTGCAGAGCATTCAAATTGGAGAGGGCAGAGCGCCGCTTCTGAAGGGCCAAAAGGACCTCATGTTCCTTGTGGTCACGCTTGGTGCACACAGGTGAATAAGAATCCAGTGTTTGGTCAAACAGGTTTGGGTATTTGAACATGGAGCTGCAAGGTTTAAACATAACTTTCTTAATTCTTAACAGTTACATACACTTGTACTATCAGCTCCTAGTTTTAGAATACACATCTTAAAAAATACTTGTTGCTCCCTGCACTCCGCCACCTCGAAGGTTATGGGGGAAAAAAAAATTAGATATCTGCTCTTCCCTAGATCTGAACTTCGAGGACTCACACCACGTAACATGGGACACATCACAGACAGTTCCTACCTTCTCGTATCATAAAGAAAATACTCTGAAAACTGTAACATCTTTTGAGCAGAACTACTCAGGTGGCTTTTGCAATACATATAGTTTGTGAAACACAGCTATCTCCACATAATGAGTTAGCACCTCTATTTAATCTATACATTCGCACTACCTTACTAACTCACTTTGTGTACTATGATGAGACTCAAAACAGCCCCTTAAATATGTGACTAAGCAAACTTACTGTTATCAATTAAACTAAGAAAATCTCAAACATCGGAATCCAAAATAATACTGAGCACTTACAAGAACAGTATGTAACTCTGTACAGTATTTCTTTTTGAAAACTCTACTTGTGACTAAACCATAAAGCATGCAGAATTATGGAATTCAAGTGCTGTAAAGTTAAAACAGCATTTGACGGCTCCTGGAGTATGTCTCGGTGGAATCAAAGACATAAGAAACTGTCATTTTGTCTACACAATATTTATTATAACAGGTGAAATAGTTGAGGGAAAAAGAGCTACATCCTTCAGGCATAAAATAATTTCTTTGGGTTTGCAACAAATGCAGCCAGCTTCAAACCAGCTGCCCCTGGTTTACACCTAAGGAAAATGGGTTACACAACAGCACACCTCTCTTCTCAAC